CTCTTCTGGTTTCCAAGGGTACCAGGTATACATCTATACACTCAAGTAAACACACACACACACACACACACACACACACACACACACACACACACTAAAACTGATTAATCTTAAAAAATAAAAATGTTATACATTGCACCTGAATAATGATACCCACAGTCCTTTGGCCTCCATACGCATGTGCATACAAAGGTCTGTGCACCTACATACACTTCTACACACATACATACACAGGACAGATTTAAAAAAGAGACAAATGGAAAGAAAAGAATGAATGGTTTAGGACACACCCATCTCTACTTCCCAGTTCCCAAGAACTGTCAGGGCATCTTTCTTCTCTTTCTTTCTCCTTCTCTGCCTCTTTCTTCTAAACCAGCCTAGGATACAGAAGCTTTGCTGGCGTTACTGGCCGAATTCAGACTGCACATTAAGCAAACATTCTTTACATCTGAGCACCCACAATCTTGAGAACATACTAATTAGGAGTACAGAGTCACATACAATTCATCACCCAGTCCCAGGCAGACCCCACCCTCCCTTTCCACCCTCAAGACATGAATATAGCTAATTTTGGAGTGAGCACATCTCTGGAATGTCTCCCACATCTCTTTCCCCATTCAATCTTATAGTTCTATCTCAGAAACCACACCCCATACATGAGGGAAGCATTATGGAGAGGCTCAAAGCCTGCAGCTGTACTGTATGCTTCACTTAGTAGAAAGCTAAAAGATATAGCTGTCTGCATTCAAATGAGAAGACATGGTAACGGGTGCAACTTTATGAGGAGTTTGCTCTTTGGGAAGTTTGGAAATGAATCACCAGGATGGACGCTTAGGACCTGCATGTGCTGAGCAGAATCTGTGTTAGGAGCACTCCTGAGCTCTGTGATCTGCATGTATATAAACCCGAGGGCCCAGCTTCTCCCAGATAGCCTCTCCTTGATGGCTGTTCTCTGTAGATCAGTTTCGTTGAAACCTTGGTGTGGCATCTGTGGATTTAACTAGACTGTACACAAACTGTAGTAGTTTGGGGAGGGAGGCTTGGAAGGTTGGAGTCAAGGGGCACCACAAAGTCACACCATACAACAGAACTCATGTAGGGGGTTTATTGAGGGGGAGGTGTAGAGCCAACCTCCAAACCAGAGCAGCAGAAGAAAGAGAGGGCAGGAAGGACCATTTTGGCTGCTGCTGCTGCTGTGTCCTCCTAGGTCCCCTGATAGCAGACCAGTATAAATGCCTAAATGCACCACACACACACACACACACACACACACACACACACACACACACACTAAATTTTACTGCTTACTTTCTCTATACAAATGCTTTGTCTGGATTGGCTCCATACTCACAAAACCCACAGCAGCATAGAATGAGAGCATTTATTACTGTTTAAAATATTTATTACTGGGCTGGTGAAATGGCTCAGTGGAGTTTGACCCCTGGGAGAAAACTGATATCTGCAAGGTTTCTTCTGGTTCTCTCTCTCTCTCTCTCTCTCTCTCTCTCTCTCTCTCTCTCTCTCTCTCTCTCACACACACACACACACACACACAGACACACACACAAAATAAATGTGAAAATAAATAAATAAAATGTTTATTATTGATTTTATAGTTACCATGTGATGCTTGGAATTAAGCACAGCCTTGGAAATATGAAGTAAATGCTGTTTCGCATCATATTATTTGGACACTAATGGTTTGAGAAGCCTTAGTCCTGTTGACAAAACTGTGCAATTTGCTACACATTTACAAAATTAAAGGGTTCTTTAGCATCTCATTTGTAATCATAATTTCATATTTTTTCTCTTAAAGGACTCCTTCAGAGTTACCTTCTCTCCCCAAACACAGGTCCATCTCTCTGTGAGCTACAAACTATTAACCACCCTATGCTGATAGGATAAAAATGAAATCCAGAGAGGGTAAGTTACTTGCCCAAGAATACACAGCCAGGAAGTAGTGGGGCCCAGATTTGTACCCCACATAGCCTGGTTGCACTTGGATTTTTTTTAACCATAATATTTCACTGTCTCTTTTTGCTTTAAATAAAGCTCCTGGCATTCAGAATGCTTTAGTAGACTCAGTAACTGATATTGTGTTTTTTTGAAAACTGCCTTTGTAATAACTTATCCTTATTTTCCAAAACCTTTTAAATTTAAGGAGACAAAACATACAGAAGCAAATTGATGTCATGTCACTTCAGTTCCAATACAGATTCCCTGTCATATTCCTCTTTTAATATTTTATTATTTTTATTATAATTATTTTTTTTACTCTTTGTGGGGACATTGCAAACTTATAGAGGTCAGAGGAGTCAGTTCTCTTTTTCTACCATGTGGATCCTGGAGATGGAACTCAGATCATCAAGCTTGGTGACACATACTTGTACCCACTAAGTTATCTCCCTGACCCCTGTCAACATCTTTTGAGGCAGAAATATTCAAACTCTGGTCCTCCTGTCACCTGCCCCATCCCTTCCCATTAAGCAAGATTGGTGGGAGGGGAACCACACTTCTGACATTCAGTTTCCCAAGAACATGGAAGATTGGAAACCGCTGATTTTAGTGGCCTCTCCACTAAGAGTCACATAATTTACAGACACAGTGGAGGGTGGGGGTGGAGGAAGGAAAGTGAATCTAAGGTACAAACTGATTTTTCTAATTTCGGGTAAACTATCAGAACTCTATGAAAGTTGATAAGCATGTTCATTGCATTACAATTTCCATCAAATTTATATACTCGTGTGTGTGTGTGTGTGTGTGTGTGTGTGTGTGTGTGTGTGTGAAATGGTGTCACTCCTCAGTCACTGTCCATCAATTTTTGTGATAAGGTCACTGGCCTGAAATGTGATGAGCAAGTTAGGCTGTCTGGCCACAAGTCCCAGTGATCTGCTTGTCTTTATCTCCCTGTTGCTAGGAATACAAGTTGACAACAGTGTTGTTTGTTTGTTTGTTATGTTGGGTTTGGGTAATTGAACTCAGGTCCTCATGCTTGTAAGTAAGTGTTTTTCTGACCCAGTTGTCACCCTAGAGCCCTCATTACATTCTGCAAACTAAGTTTACACATAGCTTCAGAGGTCTAAATATTAAGACTGGAACAATGACTACATTCTAAGATTCTAAGATTTTACTATACAATTTTTCAGAATCTTTCAGTTCTTGGGATGAAACCCAGAGGCCTCATTCATCCCAGGTGAGCATTCTACCACTAGGCCACATTCTCAGCCAATGCTGGTCTCATACACTCAACAACAACAACAACACACATACACACACACTTTAAAATACAGTATAAATAGAATGTAGAAATCCAAATTTCCTTAGCAGCTTTTTATTTTATTTTTGTCTGATTAAGTCATTTTCAAGAAAAATATTGCTATGGACTAAAGACAACAGGAACTCTCCAAAATGAGCCAAATCCGTGTTTTTCTAAGAAGGAAACTTTGGAAAGTGTTAAGCTCACTTGCAGTTGTGGAGACAGCATGGCTTGAATCCATTGCTAGTCCTCAGAACGATTCTTTGTTTCAGTTCTTCCCACACTCCTTTCTCCTTACACTCTCTCGAAGCTTCAAGATCTTTACCCTGAATTCCTTCTCTTAGCAATTCGGCTGTGCAAGCCTTCCAACAGACAGTGGCAAGTGGAAACCCTGCTGGAAGCTTAGGATTCAACTCTAGAGAACCAAATATCAACTATTAATATCTCCCATTTATGGAGTACCTACTGGATACCAGGTCCTTAACACAGCTAGCTAAACCCTTACTAAAATGTGCAAGTAAAATTGCAAACCAGACATGGTGCACTGCTGTAATTCCAGCATTTGGAAGATTCAGGCTGGTAGACTGTGAATTCGAAGCCAGCCTGGGCTAACAGAAGTGCCTGGCCAGCCCTAGCTTCATAGAACAGCATGCCTTGGAGAGAAAAACGGTTGCATTCAAAACTAGAGTTTGGGCAGGTCACACGGCTGTAAGTGGTAGAGTGTAGAACCAGACCTCTCTCTGGATGGAAAGCCTAGATGTTTCCTACACCACCACAAAAGCTCTTGGGACTTTGCTGGCTACTTTTGTCCCTAAAGGAAACCCCACATTTCCCAACTTACAGGTAAACACCTTCCTTAAAGAGGACCCCTCATGAAAACAACCACAGATAAGAAGGTGAATTCCATCTTCCAGGTCTAATTGCCAAATAAGGCTGGGAAGAAATATGCCTGCTTATGTCTTCCTCATCCGTGAAAACACGCATTAAACTAAACAGTTCATCTTTTAAATGATTGTGTCAACATCGCGATTCACTTCGTCTGAGACAGTCCCTTCTACAGGATCTTCACAGGGTTGTTAGTGCGAATCTGTTTGATGGCTTTCATAGAACTTTTCCAGTGGTCTGGACTGAACTGAAACTTTTCATTGGCAGGGTTGTGGTCACCTGTGAGGTTAAACTGATTAAAACCAAAGCTGACACGTGCATAGAGTACCTGAGCCAGTTCTTGATACTGGCTTAATCATAGGACCTCCTGTAAACTACTCATAATTGATAAGAACCGGAGGGAAAATTGAGTTCTCCTATGTTTAAAAGGTGGAGAGAGTTGAGGCTTCCGGGAGTTTATGAGTTTTAATAAGTTCTTTTCTCCCAAGATGAGCGTTAACAGCTAACTACCTCACAAGTCTAAGACAGAAACTTGCAATGAACTGCTAGGCGGGAGTCTCAGAAATTTATAAGGAAGGATAGAAATCTGGTAGACGGCGAGAGCCAACAAGAACGTTGTTGTTCCAGGACTTGGAAGTTCTATTCACAACTATGCAGCAAACTGGAAGAGGAACAAGTGACCAACAGATGGGAAAGCTCCCACGCAGAAGCCTGGGAAAAGGGATGGGGCAGGCCAAAAAGGAGGAATGCCTCCTCCCTTTCATGCATCCCACCGGTCAACTGCAGCCTGTCCAGAGCCACACAGTCCAGGCAAGCGGAGGGAAGGGAGAAAGGCGCGGGCTCCCACAGCTCTACTTACTTGCTCTGAGGCGTCATCCCATCTCCGTGCCTTTTCCTGGGACTCCGAGAAGAGAGGCAGCCCCAGGCACAGCCCCAGCAGCAGGAGCATGGTGAGGCTGGAGTGCGCGCGTTACGACTCTGGGCTAAGGAGGGATTTTCAGGGTGCTGAAGGAGCTGAGCCCAAGGCTGCAGAAAGACACACACGCTCCATCCAGCCCCGCCTCCACCAAAGCCCCGCCCATCAAGGTCTCCGCCCCCTTCATGATCTCCTGGCAGCCTGGGCCACTAGCCTAGGCCACTCCTCCCCTTCTCTTCTGAGGCTTCCCCATCCCTGGTTCCACTCACTACTCACCCACCATGTGATCCCTGCCTACTAGTTTTGCCTCCCCTTGGGCTCTACTATTGTCCGCAGGACAGCTTCCAGCAGGCACCACCTCCAGGTCCCACCTCCAGCTCTTAAGTAGTTAATGGGTCCCCATGGTCCCAGATTAAAGAGTTCCAGACCTGCCCCAGCTGTGTGCACAACTGAAGCAAACTCTGCTTTGCCCAGCTTGAACACCATCTTGCCTTTCTATCCTGCATGCAGTGAATAGACTATCCTCTTAGGTCAAGCCTTAAGCCTTTTTCTACAGCTGCCAACAGCATCATCCCCAACTCTTCCTTCCCTGCTTTCCTTTGCTTTGTGGACTTGATTTAATCCCTGTTGCCAAGAGCTGGGGGTGGGGGGTTGGGAGGGTCAGCACACCAGGCTCACCTGAGGCCTAAAGGTGACAGGTCCCCTCCCTTACTCTTAATACCTGTCCCCATTTAGAGTCACAAGTATTGTCACAAGCCATATTGTCCCTTTTGATGCCATTCTAGTATTGAGGGGCAGAAAAGATAGGCAGAATTAGACTTGTGTGGATGTTAGCCTGGAAATGAATGTTATGTATCTTGATTATAAATTGTTTCTTCTGTTCTTGTCTTGTTACAGGAAGGACCATTGCCTATGGGCCTCCCATGCTTGACCTTTTAGAACCTGGGGGGAAGTCTTTCTGCCCTGTGCATGTCTAATGCAGCTGGGTTAATGTGCTTAGGCCATCTTGCAAAAGGTAATTGCTTCAAAGACTAATTCTATGTTTCTGGTAATTCCATCTAAATAGATAAGGAGAAAAATCGGCTTCTGCAGCCCAGAACAGGGAAGTGCTTGCCCCCACAAAAGATTGTGGCTAGGTAAAAACACACAGGGATATGCTCCACTACAAAAAAAAAAAAAAAAAAAAAAAAAAAAAAAGGCAATTAAGTTGCCACTCCTTCTTAAAACACTCTGAGAGCAATGTTGCTTGTTCAGCAGAGAAATTAGAAGTTCAAACAAGCAAACTTGCTGCTACTGTGAAACAAATGAAAGGAAGATCATTGTCATTAACATTAATCATTTAATTAGCCTAATCACCCAGCATTTAAAAAGCATACAACCAGCAGGAAGAAAGCAGCTACTCCAGCAAGGTTTCTATGCAGAAACTACATAGAAACCTGGCAACAAACAAGTTGTATATGCCACCACAGTTCTCACTAAGGAAGAAACCCAGATCCCCTGTAATCAGCTCCACTGTTTCCCCCAAGGGAGGAGTGACTGTGACTGGGAAGTTCACATTGCAAGGGCCACACCTGTTACTTGAGGGCTTGAACAGGCCTCCATCTTCTTCCTCGCTTGCACTCCTTGTACCCTGTCATGCTAAGCAGGGGCATATCCACCCCCCACACTTTCATGTCTTACTTTTTATCAAGTGTTCACTAGCTGAGTTTCCCACCGGCAACACAAAGGAGTATAATAGTTTGCTTTCTTTAGATGGAGGTTTCTCCCTCTACCCTGAACCAGGGTACTGACACAGTACCTGGTTTACTTTTTAGTCAGTTTCTCAATGTGATCAGAAGTTCTTTGAAGACAAGCATGTTTCATACGACTGCTAGCATTGTTAGCACTGAAATAATCTAGTTATGAGTGGAATGAGGCATAAGGCACACGGGGTGGAGCAGGGTGCTAAGGAAGGAGGGGGCTGGGCTGCAGTCCACATTTGCCCACTAGCTAGCTACATGCCTCGGTAGAAGTTCTGAACTGTCTGTTGCAGAGTCTCGGCTCATAAAGGCCCACCACTTACAAACCGTTGACCTTATAGTAGATCAAAGCAATACACATTTGAGAGAGACCATACTTTGTTTTATTCTTGCCTCCCAGACCAGCAATATTAGTTGCTATGCTAATATTCCATGATATAAGACAGCCATATCCATGTGAAGCTACAGATCAACTATGCAACCAAGGGCATATACAACCAATGCTCTAGAGGTACAACTAACCTATAGCTGAGGGTGGCTATGCAGCCCAACATAAAAGTGTAAACTTAGTTAAAACATTATGAAATATCTTTGTGAGTTTGAAAACCCAATTAAATGGCTTATGAGCGTGAATTTTGAAGATAACTGTGTTGCACCACACCTACCTGAGTATGGTACGTTGGAAGTATTTTATGTTTAGCATACAACTGTGTCAACAAAATACTTATCTATATGTGTGTGAGAGATATTCAATGTGTAATTATAAAAGTAGATGCTGGGAGAGGGAGGAGTGATAAGAAAAGAGGTCAAGACCAGGCTACAGAAACCCACCAAGACAGCTGATCCCTAGACTTATAGCTAGGAATCCAGCATTGGACTGACTCAGACCCCCTGAACATGGGTCTCACTTAGAAGGCCTGGGCAGTCTAAGGGACCTCTGACAGTGGAACCAGGATGTATCCCTGGTGCATGAAAAGACTTTGGGAGCACATTCCCCATAGAGGGATACACCCTTAGGCTAGAGGTAGGAGGGCCTAGACCCTACTCCAAATGACGGATTTTGATGATCCCTCCTGGAAGGCATCATCCTTCCTGTGGAGTGGGTGAGGAATGGGATGGGAGGGGGACATTGGAGGGACATGGGAGGGAGGGAGAGGGAACTGGGATGGATATGTAAAATAAGAAAAAATAATAAATATATATAAATAAACCTGAACTTTTTTAATTTAAAAAAAAGGAGATGCTGTGTTAGATGATTTTGCAGACTGTAGGCTAATGGAAGTGTTCTAAGCATGTTTGTGATAGAGTAGGCCATAATGGGCAATATTGAGCATATTAAATGCACTTTCCTGTGAACAATGTTTTCAACTCATGATAGGTGTAAGGAGTACGGTTTTTTCTTTCGCCTCTGGTCTGGTCCTGTCGCCGTGCCAGCCCCAATTAACATACAGAGACTCTGTATTAGATATAATTCTGTTGGCCAGGTACTAGTTTTTTATCGGCTAGTTCTGTCTTAGGTTTTTTTCCAGCTTCTCCATCTTGACCCCTCCTTACTACTTCCTCTTTTCTCCTTGTTTCCTAGTCCCACCTATCTTGTTTTCCTATTGGCCAACAGTGTTTTATTCATTAACCAGTATGAGAAACATATACAGAATGACATCTCCCATCAGATAGGTGTATCTGGAATAACCTCACTTAAAAAGAATCAGCCATGACAAAACAGCCCTACAGACTACAGCTAGGATATCTGAATCTTCTTCGAATCCCCCAAGACAGCGCCCCTTACCAGCAGGAAGTAGTTTGGAAAGAACGACGCCCAAATTCCCAAATATTGTGTATAAATGTTTGTTTTCATTTAATTGGACTTTGTTATATAAAATTAAATAAAAAATACTCTATATGCATAAAAAAAAAGAATCAGCCATGTTTGTAATTTGTAGTATTTTATTGCTCTATGTCACACCAGAGCCTCTGTGGAATGTTTGTAGGTATATTAAACGTAAGACCCAATGAAATTTTCCAAGATGGTTGACAGATACTGGCTCCATGCATGAGAATAGGAGGATTGAGCTGCCCCTCAAATGAGACATATTGAGGGCTATGGTGTCCCCACACATATATGACCTCTGAAATTGTGAAAGCCAGGCTAGTAATTCTGCAGAAACATTTGTCAGTTGATCAAGCATTTGTCCCCACAAAAACATACATTGATCAAAAATCTTGTCATCAAAGAGTCATTCTAATTTTCTTTTGAAAGGATGCAGTGACAGTATTGTCATCTTTATAGCATCTGGGATCACCAATAGGACAAGTCTCTGAGTGTATCCATGGACACTTTCTAGATTAATTTTCTAGGTTAATGGAGTTGGAAAGACTCATCCTAACTGTGGGTAGCATCATCCTATGGGCTGCCTGGGGTCCTGGGATGAATAAAAAAGGAAAGAAAGCTGAATGTCAATGTTTGTCTCTTTGTGTGTGCTGCCTGACTATGGAGAGCATGTGACCAGCTACCTCACTTCCCTTTCCCTGCCATGATGGACTATGTCCCTTGAGCCACAACCAAAATAAAGCCTTCTCCCTTAAGTTGTTTCTTTTCAGGTGTTTGGTCACAACAATGACAAAAGTAACCAACACAGATGCCCAGAGCAACACTGGTACTCCAGCTGAGTTCTCAGCTTTGACATGGAATTATCACTTCATAGAGGAGTTTCAAACACAGATGGAATAAGACACATTTTCTCTCTCTTTCCTCCATGGTACTTTCTGTGACACTAAAGCCTGAAGTCAGAGAACCCAGCAGCACCTGAAGGTGATCTCCAGGGAGTGTTCTCAACCTGAAGAGCTGCCAGATGTGTCTCAGGTAGACATTGGGAGAGCTCCAGAGAGCTTCCCCTGCCAACACAGACATGTCTCTGGAAGGGTTCTGGTTCCCATTGAGTGTGAGTTTTGTGGGTGGTGCTGAGAGATATATCACACCAGCTGAAACCAGGGACTGACTTGGCAGTATTGTTGCATTCTCTGGAAATGCTGATGGGCAGGCTGCCTGGTTGGCAGCAAGGGAGCCTCTGTGGCATGCAACATGTGCAACAGGTACCAAACACATGGGTACAGACTTGCTGAGCAAATAATACCATCCTTTCTATTCCCAAATCTCCAGGCAGTCTGGTGAGAACAACCTTGACTCTTGCCAATTTATGAAAACCTTTGAGCACCTCTGTTATGCCTTTTAAAAATTCTCTTTCTGGTATTGCACAGGGTTACATAAGACCACATTCGTACAAGCATATAATACACTTCAAGTACATTTCTCCCACACCCACCCTTCTGCATTTT